ATTATCTACTGCGTATATATAAACGAGCGTGTGTATATGTGTGTATATGTGTGTATATATGTGTGTATATGTGTGTATATATGTGTGTATATGTGTGTATATATGTGTGTATATGTGTGTATGTATGTGTGTGTATGTATGTGTGTGGGAAGAACTTAAGGGGACGGATCCCTTCAGTTCGGACGCATGTTGCTTATGTTCGCTTCCGCCGCTGCTGTTGGTGAAAGCAGCCTTTTCCCCTCTGGAGAGATCTCTCCCCCGCCCCCCCTAGTCCTCACTTCGACCGCCTTTGTTCGTCCCTTCCCAAGCTCAGCTTATCTTCTACTCCCCCTTCCCCCCTCCTCTGCCCCCTTCCCCCTTTTCCAATCTGTAGATGATGATTTGGGTGCCCATCGTGGTGGGATGTGGGATGGCCGTTTGGAAGGCCATCAACGGCACCATAGACTTCTCCAACCTCATCAATGCGGCCCTGTCCATAGTGCTGATCGTCATGCCCATCACGTGGTAGGTGAAAAGGGGGAGCGGGCGGGGGGCGGGGGGGGGAGGGGAAAAACACGCCACACACACGCAAGATGGTGTGCGTGTGGCCGTGGTGTGTATGTTGTTACAGGGTGGTTAACTTCGCCAGCGGCCCCCTTTCCCGGGGCAGTCCCTGCTCTCCCCTGCTAGAGGGGCACCCTAATCCGTCACCCCATCCGACTTCAGAATGTATTCGTTGGGTTCGGCAACTCACCACCAGCATCCAACCAAATCTAGCGGATCAACGGCGCATCAACTTAGTTCCTGGTCAGCTCGCAAGTTGATATTATCACGTCCTACATCGTCCATATGATGGGGGGCCACCTCCCATTTGAACCCGGGTCGGCCGGGAGCAGAAGTCAGGCCTTAACCTCTGCCAGCCGCCTGCCATATGTGTGTATATATGTGTGTGTGTGTTGCTGGTGGGGAGGGGGAAATGTGTGCTAGTGAGTGACTCTCCTTTGTATGGCCTGGGCACTAGGGCTGTGCTGTGCTGTGCCATGCTGTCCATGCCATCCGAGTGCAGCTGTGGTACTGAGTACTGCTGGTGCGCAGATGCGGAGGGGGGTAGGGGTAGGGGTAGGTGGCCCCGCTGGGACGGGTGACCAGTGACCACTACTTGTAGTGGTCCCCTTCCTTTCCGTGAAGTGGTCTGTATCTAGCTATCGTCGGCACCATGTATGTATGATGTGTGAAACAGGGGGTGTATCTTCGCCCGTGGCAGCTACCCTGCGAAACCCTGCCTTCCCCGGTATTTCGGGGCACCCTCATCCAGTCACCCTGGTCAACTTCTCAGTGGATCGCTCAGGTTCCGCACCCACCACCAGCATCCAACGGAATCTGCCGGGCCGACAGCGGCCCAACTCCATTCCTGGTCGGCTCGCAGGTTAACTTTATCCCAGGTCATCACCGTCCATCAACTAGGGGCGCTATGCCTTCCACCATCGGAAGGACTTTGACCCTAACGGGTATCGATCCCGGGATCTCCCGGGGGCAATGGTCGCGCCTTACCAGTAGTGCCAAACCCTGTGTATGTATGTATGTATGTATGTATGTATGTACGTATGTATGTATGTATGTATGTATGTATGTATGTATGTATGTATGTATGTATGTATGTATGTATGTATGTATGTATGTATGTATGTATGTATGTATGTATGTATGTATGTATGTATGGGCCGCCGCCGCCGCCGCCGCTGCTGCCGCCTCCCAGGGGTGTCCGCGCCTACTTCGCCATCAAGGAGAAGGAGCGGCTGCACCAGGCGCACCTCAACGCGCTGTTTCTGCTGCACAACCTCAACAACAACGCCGGAGTCATCTCGCAACTGCTGGGGGAGGCGCAGGAGCAGGTGGGGGGGGTGACAGTACAACATAATAAATACACATATATACACACATACAGATATACAGAATGTATACATACATATACTTAAAAAAAAATATATATATATATATATATATATGTGTGTGTGTGTAAATGTATACATATATATGTATATATATACATATATATAAATATACCGACATACACCTACGTGCTGCTGCTCAGAGTGTGCTGTATGTTATGCGGGAGGAGGAGCCGGAGGGACAGCGGCGCGCTTCCGCACGGCCCTCACCTTAACCTCCCCTTTCCCCCTCCAGTTGGTTCGGGAGTTGGTTCGGGGGTTTGACGGCTTCTTCTCCCCCATTCGTTGAGGTTCTCGGTGTCCGAAGAAAAGGCAACAAAACAAGTCCAGACCTTCTCCTCCACGCCTCAGGAGCTAAACATGTTGTTGAACACTGCCGTACGCTGCCCTGCGCCGTACAACGCTACAGGAGGACAACGAGACGATGCTGGCTTACTTCTTCCTGTGGCAAGGCGAAGCTACGCCGAAGCCCGTGCCCAAGATTGAGCTGGACAGGGCCGTGGAGGCGTATCTGCAGGTGTGTACGGCACAAACATGTACGACACACATACCCACACACATATCTGGTCGCCGCTCGTATAGGGCACACACACATGGGTATTAACATTGTGGTTTTTATGTGCAACTATTCGTTTCCCGCCGCAGAGTAAGTTGGACGAGCTGAACGTTGCCGTACGCATGGACTACGAGGTAATTGACTCCATGACCAAGTTGGAAAGGCTGGGGCTGGTGCACATCAGCCGAGGGCCGGACGGAGTGAGGCGGCTGCAGGTACGGAATGGTATAAACCGTGTCGTGCTGCAGTGCTTGCCGTGTGTTCCTTTTTTTCCTGAAACCCTCTTTCTCTACCTCCGCACGAGGCCACCGCCAGATTAGGCACCACCACCTCCGAAACCTGTACCGCAGATTCCGCCTGCCTGCCTGGTGCCTCCGATTCCCTTCTCCTTTGCCTTGCCTCTGATTCCCTCCTCTGTCTCCCGTTTCCTGTTTCCCGTTTCCTCCTATCCTGATTCCTAATTAGGCTCTCCCCCTGGACTTGGCCCTGGAAAAGGCCCACGTGCGCCACTTTGACGAATCCCGCGAGGCAGGTCAGCCCGAGCTGCCCCCCTCAGAGGCCCGGCGCCAGGTCACCCAGGGCCTCACATGGCACGAGTGTGCGGATGTGTTCCGACCCACAGGTCGGTCGGTCGGTCGGTCGGTCGGCGGGAAATGGGATCCAATGGGATTGGAAGGGGGGGGCCCGGGGGGGGGGCGGGGGACTGTGGTGGGCGGGTTGGTTCGGGGGAGACTCGTGCATGCGTGCGTTCTTATGATTATATTATCATTTTAAGTATGCATGTGTATGTACGTATGCATGCATGTGTGGGGGGGCCGGGGGGAGGCGGGGTTGGAGGCGGGAGGGGAAGGTGGGGGGGTTTGTTTTCGTGGCGTGTTTGTTTTCGCCGCTATCAGATCCATCTTTCCTCTCCCCTCTCCTCTTCCCCTCACCCCAGTATCACCTGTACTGCCCTGCGGGCCTGGGGGCGGGAGGGGGAAGGGGAGGGGAAAGGGGAGGGGACCTCCCTCAACCCTCCGCGACCTCAGCCCTCCGCGTGTTGCGGTTCCTCTAGGGTGCTGGTGGTCCCCAGAGGCCGTTACTTTCCCGCCCCGCTCCCGGCAGCTCTACACCGCCCCCACCCCGCTGGGTATCAGACTAGACGTATACACACGTCGTACACATGCACCTCCCACCGACGTCCTGGGCGCTCTCGATACCCTCCTCTCCCCCCCTCCCCCCCCCCCACACACACACACAACCCTCTACATGTAGGTCAGAAGTTCCGGTATTTTTGGAACTCCGAAACCGGAGAGTCTCAGTACCACGAACCCGACGAGCCGTACATCAAATTGGGGGCAGCAGCGGCGCTGGACCTGGAGGACGCGTACGTGAGTATATCTGTATGTCGCACGATTTTGTTGCTGCCGTCGGGGCTGCAGGGGCTGGAGGGCGAGTGCCGTGGACCGCTGCCGTTTGCGCTCTTTTGCTTCTTGGTCCCCTCTTCCCCTTCGTCTTCCCTTCCTTTTCTTCCTAAGGGGTGTGCCCGCGTCTTCTCCCTAACTGCCCGGGCTTTCCCCCCCCATCCCTGCCCCCCCCCCCCACAAAAAAAAAAC